CTCCCACCGACGCAGCACCACAGTTTCTTTAGAAACTCACCCCTTTATTCATATAAGCTTAGTTTGATTAATTAAAACAAATAACGATCACTGTTAAGAAGAAAGAACTTAGGCGAGCGTGTAGAGTAGGAGTCAACAGTGCTGAAATGTAGTGTATTGGAGATTTGGCTGAAGAATTTGAGATGGGGTTCGCACTTTACTATTGACCACAGTAACACGCATTGTTAATGGTGAGACGTACACAACAATTTGTTAAAAGAGTGTGTGCATTTGCGAAATTATATCATCAAAGGGTTGTCATCCTGTAATAAGTATTCCTTACGCCAAGAACGCTATTACTAAATTTTTTAATCTCACGAAATATATATGCACGATGATCTCAAGTTACCAAAAAAGTCACGTTTCTAATATCGTTATTTGATTTAGGACTTTTCGGCTCTGATTGCGGCGAGAAACGTGAAACGAATCTCAGAGGTTTGCTTTCGACCCCAGTTCGTAAATTTAAAGTTGAGGTATGAAGATCATTAACTGACAGTTATTTCTGCACAAATTTACAACAGCTCAGCAATTGTTGACCAGCAATAACTTTAAGGATACAAGTAACTGTGATGCTTTTAAAAGAGAGGTATACGTTAATACGAAACTTCACAATGATGACATCTGTTACCCTCGAAGGTATTAATCAGTGTATTTTACACGGCCTGTGGCATGATTGTATACTTTCACGCCCATGATACTTCGTTCCTTAAAATCGAATTCCTCACCTAACAATTACGTACTTTTTGTTTTGATTTTTATTTTTGTTGATGGTTCATGTTAACGTCCAGGACGAAACCGGCGCCTAGAAATTTATAAGGTATGGTGCTGTGTGGTGCTTTCAGCAAGGGCGACGGTTCTTTGAGTCGATCCCTGTTGATTGTAATCGGTGTTCGAGCCCGATTCATTGCGAATTTTATTGCAGTATGCACAGTGGAGTATTCTTTTGAACTCTAACCTAAACAACGGATTCATTCCGGCGTAAATGAAAGGATTAATGGCGTTTGACAAATTTACGAAGAAAGCGCACAACAGTTGAACATTGCGAGGTACTTTTCCCACAAAGCGTACCAGGATGGTAATCAACCAAGCAGGAACCCAGCATAACATGAAGGCAAATACTACGACGAATAATGACTTGCTTATTCGGATTTCATGTGCGCTGAAATTGACATCACGTCTTTGACTTTGATGGGTCATCGCTAAATTAATGTTGTGTTCCTGGATCTTTCTGGAGACTTTTCTGTAGCTGAAAATCGTCACCGCCAGGGGAAGAAGGAAAAACAAGCCAACGACCACAAAATAATGAAGTATTTTGCTAGATGCAGCCAGATGTTGGTTCAAGCACGAGGCATACTCTGGTACAAATTGAAAGCCTTGTAGACCAGCCAAGCGAGAAAACAGGATGTAACCAGCAATTAAGCCCCATACAAAGGCCAGCACGAGGCGGGATTTTATTGGGGAGAAGAACCGTTTATACTCCATATCTGACTTGCATATTCTCATGTATCTGTTAACTGCTGTCAAACCCATCGTCACGGGTGAAACGTACACAACAAATAGGCTGAAAAAGGCATTTACCTGGCAAAGTACTTTACCAAAGGGCCATCTTCCTGAAATAAGTGCTCCGGCTGCAAACGGCATGACGAAAATGGCGCTCAAAAGATCGCTGATAGCCAACGCGATGATGTAAATGTTAGTGGTAGAACGTAGTCTTATATTCCTGTAAACGGCTATACACACCATGATGTTGCCTCCCAGCGAAAAAATGTTCAGCGCAATCATAAAGCCGGACTCCACGATGGTCAGAGCTACACTGCGTGATGGTAGATCGGCCATTTTGTTTGGAGTGTTATCGTTGTTGCCGCAACTTTTGCTTTTCTATTATTGCAGTTGATGAGACGAAAGTTTATCCTAAGCTGGCTTCTAATGTGCTTGGGTGAATTGAAAGTATGTTGGTTCCCACTAATTTTTGAGGAAATCTTCGTTCAATTGGTTTTCCTAACGAAAGGTGTTGACTGTAGCTGTAAATAAAAAATAGGAAGGCCTCATATTAATCATATCTTTTAAAATTCTCGGACGGCTGGAGGAGCGTTTGACTCACCGGTGATGTTCAACATGATAAACTTTAAGATTTCAGTGTTGTTATTCACCCGTGTCACGTTCTCAATTACATTAATCTTCACATGGGCATTAAAACCAAACAGAACCAAAGAATTTATCAGCAGGAGCCACTGATCCTTCAAAGTAAAACAGGTGACCAAACGTGGATTGCTTT